TAGAGGGTGGGGTGCAAGGTGGGTGTGGCAGGAGTCAACTTCTGGTTGACAAGGCTTCATTTTGTCTTCATATCCCATGCATTCCTTACCATAGAGTGTCAATCAATAAATGCTTGATAAATTACACTACATCTACCCTAGTTTTCTGCTCCTAATAACACCAAAAACTTCAACTTAGCGATATTTTTAATGAGGATGAGAGAAAGGAAGCTTACATTTTTAAATACTGTATATATTTATTCCTGCCAATTTTTAAGAGACGTGGCTCTAATGCACATACATTTGACTTGATACATCCATTTATGAAATTATCTCTGTGCCCTATCTCCCCTTGAGAAGACAAGGTTTCCAAGTTCAGAAACCATATTCCTTATTATATAGGCTTATTTCTCTAATGATAAAAAATAATCACACTTTAAAACATTTCTAGATAATTAGCTCAGTTAATAATCCTTAAAGAGGCATGGCGATAACACCAGGTCTTGAGAAGAATGAAGAATGAAGAATGAAGGTTTGAAGTCAAGCGATCCGGGTTAAATGCTTTCTTTTGCCACATATTTTGGGATATAGGGTCAAGTGATACAAACTTTCTGATCAGTAGTATTTTAATCCATAAAATTAAAAATTATGGGAGGAAAAAAAGCCATATCTATTTCACTTGACTCTTAGAAGGAATGGTAAGATTATAAATGACCAAGCACAATATAAACCTTAGTTTGTGTTTAATCCTTTATCCTCACTGTCAATAAATTAAGGAGCATTACTAATAAAGGTCTTTACATTAGATAAGACACTCACAGGTTGGAAGGCAAGGGTACCACAGATATATACTGTGGATAATTCTTAATGAGCAGAAAGTAACTTATCATTGCCTATCCAATCCCACAACCTTAGTGCTTAGAATTTTCCAGTCCTACCTTGGCATTTTGGCAATGGATCACTCCACCCAACAGTGTTTTCCACAAGAGAACAGTAAATAGAATCTGCACCAACTAATCTGTACCTAAACAATGAGGGGAGAAAAAAGTTAAGTTCAATGCACACATATTTGGACTTCTCTTAAATTCTCCAGAATATCATCTTAAAATATTTATGGCACCAGTAGGTGG